TTTAATACACCAAAAACGGTCTAATCTCTCGGCCCTGAAATTCAAAACGCCTCTAGTATTGCCGTGTTACTCCTAAACTTAAGTCATCTTTGTTGGTATAAGTATATTTTCCTTTTTTAATGATGTCTTTCTTTGCTTTTGTGTGTTTGCAAGTTTGAGTTTGCGTGACTACTTTTTATCCAAAATTATGATCATTTTGTATGGCAATGACAGCATTTTTATTCTTTTGTTAAGTCTTAGTGTCTTTAAGGTAGTCCTTTACATAAGCCTTATTGGCCTCCCTGGGCTTCCTTGCGTTATATATTGATATTTGGTAGATACATTTATAAATGGCAAAAAATAAAACAAACAAAAAAACAATCTTCAAGTCCACGACATAGGGCCTATCCAGAAGGCCTTTGCTAACTGCAAGGATTCTAGCATTAGCACCATGTGCAATTTGACCCAACCACAGAAAATCAGTGCTGTCATGGGTCAGGAAATGGTCCAGGCTCAATTACCAGCCGCTGTTCAGGAAAGGAGCCCACACTCCTCCCCGAAGTCTCTCTCGGGGAGGAATGTAGACCTGAAATGAGAGAGAGGTAGAAATCAAACCTAGAAATGGTCAGGGGAAAAAAAAGATGTTTAAAAAGTTTTCATTTTCAATCAGGGAAAATTTAAATTTTGAAGAAATATGAGACAAAATAATTTTAAAACACCATTGAAGGCTGGAAGAAACATCTCAACAATGTTTTTCAGAAGAAGGAAAATCAGTCTCAATGACTGGGAGGAAGAGATGAGTGTAAGGGGAGGCTAGAAGCTGCAACTACATCTGATAGTTTGCATTTATGTGATCAGGGAATTTTGAAAAGGGTTGCCTATGGCAACCATGTAAAACGTTTTGTTTGCATCGCTTTCGCCCATGTGAATGTTTACTGATGCGACTATCTGCCCGTGGGTCACTGAGGATGAATATTACCCAGGTTTGCTTGAAAGCAAGTCGCGTTAACCCTACTCAGACGGGAGGGGAGGGTGGAATCCCTAACACAAACATGAAGGGTTTATGATTCGTTACATTTGAAATCTTTCAGCTTGAAGGCATGGCTCAAATACATGCTTACTTCCTCATCGAACATATTAGTCGTGATAGTTTACACTTACGTTTATTTAAGAATAATTTAAAGTATCTATATGTATCTCTTAGATAGCAACGTTCAATTCAAATCCTACAGCAAGATAAAACGATACAAAATTTCAAAGTTAAAAATACAATTGCATTTCTTAATAATTGCAGTCTAAGCCCTATTAAACGGCCACCCTTGGGGATGGAAATGGGTAGTGCCCGCTTAAAGGGGTTGGCCACTTAATGCAACTGGTAAAAGCAGTAGAAAAGCAATCATTGGGACTTTGATTACTGGCCTCCTAATAGGGGTGGCTGTTTAATTGGTGGCCGCTTAACAGGGGTTCGACTGTACATCTCTTTGCAAAGGAAAACCTACTTAGGCCGCGATGACTGCAAATGTGAGATCTTATAGTTTACTATCTATGAGTGGTATCAAAAACGCAGTTGAAACCCTTAGAAAGGTATGAATATCGCTGTTCCCTTCAAGCGTGTCTATGACATTCTCAGAGTGCTCCTAAGCCTGTAGTTTAGTTGGCGTAAAGAGCTGCTAATTTGACATCATGAAATACTTGATCACTAAACGCAGTGACTATGATATGCATGAGGTGAAACTAAGGTATGACTTTGTTTTCGAAGAAAAGTATAGCGTATTTGCTGTTTCACAGCTGCTTTGCTTCTTTTCTACCTACAATCACATCCAGTCATGTTTTAATAGACGTATTGCCTGTTAGCTTCACGTGGTAGTTCGATATCATCGTCCAGTTTGACTTTGACGTAAGCTGACCCTGTTTGCCTTGCCTTGCCAAAGCCTTCCTTTATGAATCGATGGATCTGATAAG